TATGGTGAAAGATTAATTGCAGCCCATCTACATTGTCATGAAATAGATCATGTTGTGCCTTTCATTCATCATTGCAGAGTAATGAAGCCATAAAAATATACACATATTTGTTTTTTAAGAACCACTTCCCATATTAGAACAAATTCCAAAGCAGAAATGCTATATCATATGGTTTGTACTCAGGCCCACTCATTTTGAACTTGGTAAATATTGTGTTAAGATGTAATGAGTATGTATAAGATTTATTAATCCTATGCTAGCAAGGTGCTTGTGTTCCAAAGTTCCTTTGGAATTTCTCTCAAAATTTATCCTTGGGAATTCTGAATTATTTTTTTCTTGTTTCTGAAGTAGAGCTGATGTTCTGTCATTTGCTTATTCATTTCTAAATCTTACAAATCTCTATACAAATGCATAAAATATGACAGTTTAATGTTCCATAAGTTTGTCCTTTGTCCTTACATCTTGAATAGTATTATGATATAAGGGGCATATCAGTTGTTCATTCGTTCATTAGGCATTTTGTGCATTATCTGCATCATCCTGATATTAAAAAAAATAAAAATTCTAATATTAGTTATGCAATATCTAATTCTTTTTTTAAAGTAACATCTGAAAGAGCATTGCAAATCTTTAAATTGCATACCTGCTTCAAAGAATGAGTGTCATCATCAGTCCCACTCCCCTTTGCCCAATTTTACCACTATTAGATTTCTAGTAATACCTTGTCCAAACGCCAGTGTCAACCTTCCTTTAATTTACAATATGATGCCATGTTTATCTTTATTTTGCAAAATCCAAACTATAATTGTTATCGATTGTGAAATAAGCAATTTTGACATGCAAGAAGAATTCAAGATGGCAGAAGTTTCTTTGGTGGTACAATATTAGGAAGTGCAAAGGGAAATAGAGAGTGGGTTGGTGGATGAAATTATAGGTTGAAATTGTATCTCCCATCTCAATGTTATTGGCACCGATGCTTCACTTTGTCAGTGCTTAATGCAAAGCATCCTTACCAAGCAGCTTCCTGACCCTGCAGACCCTGCTTCTTAAAAGAGAAAGCAAAATTGCATCACTGTTTCATTTTTCATCACTCCACAGTCTCCTCTGACACATTTAGTGTACAGAAGAGCCCTTCAAGCTAGAGGAAATGCCAGAGGAATTCATAGGAGCAATGAAAATTGCCCCAGTGAAATAATTACTGCTGTTCTCATTGCATGAAACTTTCATTAGTAACTTTCCTGCATGAGGGAGACAGTTTTCATACAGAACCAAAGTCAGTTATAGTATGAACTCACAATCTTCGCCTGGCATTCTTATCTCTAAATGTATGCAGTATTAAATAACCATAGCTGATTTTAGAAAAGATGGGTTTCCTATGTAAGGAACAATTTAATTTTCACTTAAATACGAAGGCGTTAATTACCTTTTTTTTTGTTCTTATGAACAAATCAATCTCCCAGACAGAGGAAAACTGATAACATATTTTATTCAGATTTTATTACTGAATACTCCGTTTTCCCAAAAATAAAACCTCCCCAGATAATAAGCTCAATAGGGCTTTTGAGCGCATGTGCTACAATAAGCGCCCCTCCAAATAAGCCATCCCTGAAAATATTGCAACACAGCAGCAGCCATGAGGTAACACGTTTGCCGCCTCTTGTACCTCAAAAATAATAAGACCTCCCCGAAAATAAGACCAAATGCTTATTTCGGGGATCAAAAGAAAATAAGATCCTGTCTTATTTTTAGGGAAACATGATAACATAGTGCACAAAGAATGACTATAACAGCTAGAGTTACACACTCTTTTTCCCTCTTTTTTTATTTTCTTATCAACAAAGTTCATGCAATGTTGTGATAGCAATAGCACTTAGACTTATATACCACTTCATAGTGCTTTGCAGCCTTCTCTAAGTGATTTACAAAGTCAGCATATTGCCCCCAAAAATCTGTGTCCTCATTTTACCCACCTCGGAAGGATGGAAGTTTGAGTCAACCTTGAGTTTGGTGAGATTCAAATTGCCAAATTGCTGGCAGCAGTCAGTCAGCAGAAGTAGCCTACAGTGCTGCATTCTAACCACTGTGTCATCTCAGCTCATGATATTCTATATCCAGCCAGTTTTAAATATTGTTCCCCTTCATAATTTTCCCAAATTGGGGCTGTTTCACTGGTAGGAATGGGGGAAAAAAACACTTTTTCTTTTGCTACCATTTGTGGTTAGCTCATGCCCAAACCAGATGAACTACTATTGGGGGTATAAATAAAATATGGCCTCTTTATAGGGACAGCGTGTTATTACTATACCTGTTTAATATCAGTTTAAGGATATGGGTTAGGGTTAGGGTAAAAATTGAGGTAGGTAGAGAAATTCTGGATTTTTTTTCTACTCATTCTCATTTAACTTGATGACATAGAATTTACTTCTGTATTATTATTCCAACAATGAATTTCAGGAACATTCTCAGGAGAAGAGTAAGGTTCTCTTTAACTTATTTAGTCCTAACATAACAAAGGGATGTATGATTATAATTCTGTAACATCTTGTTACAGGGAATGCTCTGAAACATTCCCAGCTTTCCACAATGAAATTCCAACTGAAATTTTTAAGAAAGAAAATATACCATGAGTTTTTTCCACTATCAGTTTTAGTGTCATTCCAGAGAATGATAACCTTGAGAAATTATAGAAGACCATCTTGTTCTGGATAAATTATCCACTGAGTTTCTTGGCCCCCAAGTAGGGTAAAAAAATATTTTAAAAGCCATTTGTTTCTAACTTCAAAAGCTAGTATTAAATGTACTTGTACACTCATGTGAATGTCCCAAGCATCACAGAAAGCATAGAGTTTATATATTAAATATTATTTGTGGTTATAGAGAAAAAAATCCTCTTAAGTGCATATGCCTGTTCAGTTACTTAATTGTGTACCAAGTGTTACCATCACCAACATTTCTTCTCTTCATCTGTGTTAAGAAGAAAGCTCTATGCAAATAAGAATATGTTGGCATGACTTATCTTTCTCAAAGTTTAATATGATTGAAAGAAAGCAATCTTAAGGTGATCCTTCTCTGATCATTTGATCTTTGGAATGAACTTGTACAAGCAAACAGTTGATACTTAACAGTTATGAGAAATGAGTAATTTTCTTCTCTCCTCAGACTTGCATAAAAAGGACTCAGATAATAATCAAGGGAAAGGAGATGATAACTCTCTGACCCTATTCAGCTCTCCTGTCAATTCCCAGATATATTTTTTCCTTTAAGTCAGGCATGCCACACTTTGTGGATTAACACTGTACTTATCTTTTAAATCGTCAACACTGGCCACAGTGATCTGGAGATGAAATACACCTGGATTTATTAATTAACATTATATCAAACTAATTAAATGCAACTACTCTTTACGTCCCATGTACTTAATATATTTCCCACTCTGTCTCATTAAAATTTACAACTTGCTTGCAATTTTTGTAAAGGATCTGAAAGTTACACCCAAGGGTTGCTTCTTCACGCCCCACTCTTGCAACCTGGAGGCTCAGAGTTATGTTCCAATCTAGCAAACTTCCTTGAAGTCTTCAATATATATTGCTTTCTCCTGTTGGGTTTCCGTATTTTCTCATGATATTAAAAAGTTTGGGAAAGTAATGTTCTACAGTTTTCTTAACCCAACAAGTAAAATGCACAGAATCCAGTCCAAAATCATCCTTTGGGATAGAAAAGGAGATAGTAGCATTAGAAGACAAGAGTTCTCTACGATATTACCTGTAATTGTCCTAGTTCTGCTTCAAAGTTAGTTTCTAGATCCTTACAATATATGAGATGCTTTAAGAGCAACATTTTGCAAGTGTTTATGTTTTAGAGTCACAAATAGCAGAGTCACAAATAGCAGCTTTTCTTATTGTTCACTTGGAAGACTTGATTCTTTTTGAGCCAACAGCAAGATGTTAGTACAAATTTTAATGGCATATCCTTGTAGAAACTTACTACAAAACTGACTTTTGTCTTAAATTAAGGAGACCCTTAATTTGTTTTATCTTCCAGTATATCGGAAACAATTGTAGAAACAGGCTTCTAAGTGGTTAGAAATTGCACACATGTAAAAAAAAGCATAACTTGATTATAGGCATTTTATAGGTAGCATTGGACTATAAGTGACTAAACAATAGACAAAAGGCAGGCCTTTAGATTGTTTTAATTGTATATAATGTTTAACATAAATGTAAATGTACTTAAATTCAAAAGTTAGTCAGGGTAAACTTTGTCATTTATCTATGGAAAATAAAAATACAGCTGTTTGTCTCATACCAATTCCTCATTATTACCATGTTTTTTCTTGGAGACTGGCAAAAGATTAGAGGATCAAGGTCTCACACAAATATATTTTACTCAGCAGACAGATTGCTTTTCCAGTTGGAATAGAGGTTGGCAGCATTTCTGAGGGGATAAAATTATCAAAGGGGCTTCCATGATTAGGTTTATATAATTGCTTGATATGATCCAATTGCTGTTCCATTTGGTTGTGCTCTTTTTTCCTTGACCCAAATTTTGAATGCTCTTAATTTCCATGATACTCCATTGCTACTTTCATATCCACTCTCCATTGTTAACTCTTGCAAATGGAGATGTATCAAAATGCATCCTCATATTTGCAACAACCCTGCATGTGGTCTATGGAGATTCTCAGTCATCCAGGTCATGGTTGTCCCAACCATGCTTTTTCAAGAGACAATTGGACTTTCTGGGCTTTCTTTGAAGATGTTTTGTTTCTCATCCGAGAAGCTTCTTCATCTCAGAGCTTCTCTTGGATGAGAAGTGAATCGTCTTTAAAAAAATCAGAAATTCCAGTTGCCTCTAAAAAAGCACTTTTGGGACAACCCTGCATGTTGTGTCAAATCAGATAATAGATATATTTTATATAGTTGACTTGATTTTATTTCAATTTCTTTTAATTTATGAAAGAAACTGATTCTGATTTCTTCCCTCTTCAAAACACTTTGAAGGAAACTAGCCAAGAAACAAAAAGAGACTCAAAGCAGCAGTCAACGAGAAATGGGGCCTGTTGCTGCTTCAGACAAGACTGCTACAAAAAGTGCTGCTCACAATGAAGACACTTTCACTTCAGGCTGTCAAGATGTTAATGGATTCAGTAAGTTTCACATTTTCACATATGCTCATATTCATGCTCAGGAAGATTTTGGTAATTAATTGACTTGCATGTCACTGAAGCAAACAAGCAAAAAGTTAAAGGTATGAAGTTAAGGATTAAGGAAAAAAAACCTTAATATTATTTCTGTCCTTCTGCTCTAACTCTTGGAAGCAGTTAAAGACCTTTCTGACTTTTGTAATCCTAATTCAAAGCAGGTACAGACAACCTTCAATGTCAGCCAGTTGAGTCTGGTGGTTGAGGTACCGGCTATGAGGCTGAGAGTTTTAGTCCCACCTTGGACATGAAAACTGGTTGGATGACTTTGGGCTAATTATTCTCTCCCTCAATCCAACTTGCTTCACAGGATTGTTGCAGGGAAAATAGGAAGAGGGAGGAATATTAGGTATGTTTATTTATAGAAATAATAATGGTGGAATATAAATAAATAAAAATACCTGATATCCCCACATCTTTTTAAAGTTGTCCCTGGAACATTCTTTTCTGACTTTTTTGTCAAAAGCCACTGCAGTGCATTTCTATATTTTGAAACTAGAAGCACAAACAAACCTATGTGTCCTAATTTACATTTAATAATAGAAGGAAAAACCAAAAGTATAGCCCTGATTCAAGAGCAACCAAAAAATATTCTGCATTATTATATTTTACATAGAAAAGACTGGATAGCCACCTGTCTGAAATGGTATAGGATCTCCTGCTTGAACAGGGGGTTGGACTAGAAGACCTCTAAAGTCCCTTCCAGCTCTATTCTGATTGATCGCACTGCCTACTACAAACCCTTCATTATCATCATATAAGAAATGTATGAAATTTATTTAAGTTTAACTTGAGTATTCTGAACTGGATCCACTTTGTAAATATGGTCTATAGTCTCCACCTTGAAAGTGTAATGATCTTATGACTCCTTCAACAACCATGAATAGTTGTGCATATAGTGAAAAGAGTAACAGCAGTTTCAAACTACTGTATGGAAAAAGCCAACATTGCCAAATAAGCTGTTGCTGCTTACATAAAAACTGGGACTAAAACATTACTGAATTGAAGAGCTGAGGAGTCCATCCACGGATACATTTCTTCTCTACTATTATTGTCAGAAATGGACAGCTAATGAAAAACACAGAAAACAGTACCATTTAATTGTTTATGCTACCTCCGTTACTCAGTTTTAGTTTCTGAAATTTCATTCTTTGGGATAACACATGATTCAGTTATTAAACAATACTCTTTAAAACCATGTTGAGCAGATGAACAGAAATATGCACTGTAAAATGCAAAACTATGAAACCAAGAGCTAGTGTAAAATCCCCCCTAAATCACACACACTTTCACATAATGCTGCTTTCTGTTGAGTCAGTCCTTGATTCAGGTATGAAAAATAATGAACAGTATTAGGTAGCATTTGTGCATTGAGAGTCATAGCTACTAAGGAAATGCAATGATGCATTTCCCTCCTCTTCTTTATGGGACTTACAGAAGGTTAAAAAACATAACTCTGGAAATATTAAAGGACGGCTTTGAAGAATGCAACCAGAAGTTAGTAACTACAATATCAACACTGTCACTGTTATGTCTGCTTCTATGGATAGATTCTATCTAAAAGATTTTAATGAAAGAAAAACATACATCAATATTTTATTGAATTAAAAAGTGAGTCTGTTAGAAGTAAAAGGAAGAAATATAACTTGGTTTAATTGACTGAGGTTACAAAAAGACTTAAAAAGTATTATGGCAACCCTTTAGGAACGTTTTGCTGACACCAGAATTGAACGATTCTATGGATGTTTTATGGATGTGTTTATAAATAGGGGATGAGACATAAGATGAAGAGATACATGTTTAACTTTATACTATGAAGGTTTATAAAATTTGTGCATGTTTGTTGTGATGAACGTAGGAAATCACTTCTTTATATATTTCTTTTTCTTTCTTTTTCCTTTTTCTACACTTTTTATTCTTTCCATTCTCTTCCCTTTCTATTTAGTTTGCATTAGTTTTTACTATTAAACTAATTAAAATTTTAATAAAAATATATTAAAAGAGAACATCAGAGGGAAATAGCTTTTCATAGATAGATATAACCTTCCTCATTTTTGTTATAGTCCTCGATAACAATGAAGATAATTGTCCTCGATAACAATGAAGATAAATTCAAGGTTCTAATTACAATTCATAGAACTCAGTATTTTCAAAGCAATATTTTCATCCATTCTGATTTTTTTTTTAAAAAAATCACTGTCTAGATGAAAAATTATCAGGTTAAAAGCAAAGCATAACTACTGAAAAATAAGAGGGGATGTTACAAATGTTTCTACAGCTATTTTATCTACAAGTATAGCTAACATATCTTTAGGCAGTCATACATTTATGGCAAGAAAAATCATATAAGTATCTGGAATGTATTGAATTTAAGTTTGCTATATAGTATTCCATGAAGGGACTATGATTTATCAGGTGTATTATAGGACAAATGGATACTAGTATTGGCTCCAAAAAGAGAACTGCAGAGAGAGAGAGAAAATCCTTAAATTTCTACTGTGTCTAATTCAGAAGACATTCTGCAAGCTTCTTACAGAACAGGTGCACATAGACTGACATCCTTTGAGCAATGATGCACTAATGACATATTCAGCATGTAGGCATTTCTCTGCTGACACCCTACTGATGAGCTGCCATGCAGGACTAAAGAAAGTGTGACAGAACTAAGCCATAGGACATTGTGGATACACCATACTCACAGCTGAGAGAATAGTAAAAGAAAAAGATGATTGTCAGAATGTTAGAATACCAAGTTAAGCTATGAAAGTTCCTTAGGAACCTCAGATTGCTTGTTAAGATATATCCAGTTGGGAAGAAGACAGTTTGGCTTTGAAAGGAAAGGACAGAAAAAAGGCTTCTGAAACGGTCTATTTTAATCCATGGAAAGACATTATGTTAAGATGGAGGGAACGTGGATTTTTGATTGAACATTGAAAGCTGTGCTGTCAAGAAGCATTATAAATTTAGCACTCCTTTCTGGCACCTGCATCAGTGGTGGGTTGCTACCGGTTTGGATCAGTTAAGCCGAAACGGTAGTGGTTTGGTGGCCTGGGTCACTGTTACCGGCAGCGACCCAGGCCTGCCAGGCATCTGAACCAGTTCTCCTACGGGGTGCCATCTTGATTTTTGGTTCTGTGCATGCACAGATCTATATATTTGCAAATGCGCACATGCACAGAGTATTTTTCCGCACACCGAACTGGCAGTAATGCCGGCAGCAACCTACCCTTGACTTGTATAAGTACCGGTAGAACAATCAAGACAAGAATAATCTATCACAAGAGATCAGTGCATAAGATGCTGCTGTTGGACAGTGGTTTTCTCCATTGCTAGGCATTGAAGAAGACCTCCAAGGCATAGATAGTCAGGATATTTTCTAAAATTCTATTTTCATTATTGATTTTTCAGGGGGGACTTGTTTCCAACAATATATGTATCAAAGCAATATTTACAGTATATGTAAATTAGCACTTGACTTCTTTTTGGGGGGGGGGGGGGGAGAAGGAAATCATTTTGAATAACTTCCCTGCTAAATATTACCAGAGTTTTATTATTACACTTTTTTCATAATCAGACTACCTTCTATAAATCCACAGGACTCACATATAGCTTTGATTATACTCAGTGGCAAATATATGCAAAAAAAAATCTGAAAATCTGAAAGAAGGCCAATTCTAGTGAACAAGTCATATTTTGTAGCTCTTCTAATTTATTATACACCTCAAAGGGAAGACTATTCCACAGCCTCAGGATAATTGAGTAATTCTATGCTCTTTGCTATAATATTCCTGATTTATGTGGATTTGAATCTTGAAGTGGGACTTCGAAAGTGGACCTAAGCTGACTTGGGAGAAGCCATAAAGACAAACACATTTTATCCCTTCTCAGGCACCACACAAGCACACTTAATAATGGATACACGAGAAACAGATTCAATTACAGGATTCAATTCAGAATGATTCAAGCTTTAATTCTGAATTTGATTAAATATGCTATATACATATTAAAGAAGGATTTATATTCAAAGTAAGAAATTCTGCTTCTGCCACTCTGTGCTCTCTATCCATCATCCTTCCTTAACCTTTCTGTTTTTCCTGTGATCTAAATTCTGCCTAGGCAGATAACGCAAATCACAACACACAAACACAAAGCAATGGGATGGGGTGGATGGGATAGGATATTAACTATTCCATAGTCCATTTGATATAAGGTCTAGAAAGAAAGTCATGAAGAATAATAAAATAAATTGCCTATTTTAAATAAAAAGAACATTCTACCTGGAGAATACCATAATACACAAACACAGCTCAGAAACTGACAAACTAAATGATAAAACCTGAAAATGAAGATAGAGCAGGAAGCCAAATGCAGAATGAAATGAGTTTGTGAAGGATGTTACAAAATTAAATTGGCAACATAAAATTAGCTCATAGAATCATGTTACTTTCTTGTTGATTTTGACAATTGTGTTCATGTCCAGATGCCAGAGAGATAAAAAGAGTGGTGACAAATAAACTATATTACACTTTCAGTCTAAAGGTGAGCAAATAACCCATAGCAGAATGGAAGCCAGGAAACATAAACAGAAGGATGGTATTTTCTCAGAAACGAATTGTTCATATGGGATTGAGCAAAAAATGAAAATCTACTTTGTTTCCTTTATATACTTATTTAATATTAGATTGCCCCTTTTATTCATCAACTGCCTCAGAAAGCAAGTTCTCACTAGTTTGAACGCTTAATTAATTAATAAGCTATCAATATTTTTGGTAAAAGAAACAAATAAAATCCTGCATTATATTAAATCAGTAATAGCTTATCTTCCCTATCCCCTTCGCAAGGGAGGAATTATTTTACATTACCATATTACCACGATCAGGAACTATGACCAATTATTTACCATGAAGTAAACAATTTATCATTTAATAGCTAAATGAAAAGAAAGACAATTGGGAAGCCAATTTTATAAGTGTTTTCTTTAGAACTAGGATAACACAAAAAGTAATATGAGATATTCTGGAACTTTGCTTAGGAAATGTCAAATAAATGACAACCTTTTATTTCAGAAGAGTGAGTTTGGATGTGTGCATAATTAAATCCATTGTAAACATCACTTCAAAAATAATTTATTTTGTGGAAAGGATGTCTTCTCATGTTACACACTTGCCAAGACTAACAGAATAAAAATATAAATGGATATGATAGGCTTATCATATTAAAATCAGAATGAGCTGTAACAATTAATGGAGAGTTCCAAAATATAACTTGCTGTTTATATTCAACACACACTTTTTTTTGGCAGAACTTGAATTGTCTGAACATACTTTAATCTTACTGTTGTCATGCTTCTGCACTTCTAATCTTACCAGATTTATATTAAAAATTTGGGTTCCTTTTTAAAAACTGTAAAGGTGATTGGAGTCTGTAATTTATATAAGATCAGATGATAGGCTATTATAGCAAAACCAATGCTCATTTTGCTCATATACTGTCCAGAGTCACAGTGTAAGTTTATATATGCTTTACTATGTTTTGTTCCTGTTTACTTTACAGGGAAAGCAGGGAATCCGCTTTCACTTATAATACCAGAAAGTGATTATTTAGAACCAGTGTGAAAAATTTGGCTGAGAATGAAAGATCCATATTCAGATTTTCTCTGCAAATGATCCAGACATATTCTTCTCTATTCATTGGGAAATAATTTAGTATCCTTATTACATTTTAAAATGTTTGAATGTAGCTTGGACAAAGGTTTTTGTGTTACTTGGAAATAGTACTTATTTACAACATTCCAACATCACTTATAGTAGCACAAGTTAAAACAGCAAAAATTTGGAAAATGATTTTTTTTATATTTAACAAAACAGTTTAAGCAGAAACAGTAATTCACTGTAAGATCCATAAGCCAGTGTACTGCCATTTATGTTGAATATAAGATGTCATATTTATATTCTTATAGATATTTATAATAGATTTTTAATAGCTAATTCAGATTGGCATCATCTATTTCTTTTTTCTTTTTTTAATGTTGCTTAAAATACTGCTGCAAGAATAACTGTTTGGCCAATGATAAAAAGTAAAGCAGTGTTTTCCAAACTTTAAAATGTGTGGACTTCATTTCTCAGAATGAACCACCTAGCAATCCCCCCCTCTATAAAACTGGAAAAAAGTGACAGCGACCAAAAGAACATTTAATCTAGGCATGGGAAATAGTAATGCCACTTGAACGTGTTAAATTGAGTAATTTTGAATAATGATTTATCCAGTGGCTTTGAATATGCTTTAGTAAATCTACATATTATTTTTGATAGTTCCCTCTTGTAATGATAGCTTTCAATGTTTTAAAACTAAATTCATAAAAATGTACAGACTATGGAGAAGCCAGTTGTAAAACAGATGCATTTTAGCACAATGGTGGAAAATTAAGGATAGTAAGTCCAGTGGGTATGGTATAGTTATAAAGATATCTCCTTCTCTATTAAAATGAGTTAATGGGAAATAGGATAAAGAAAGATGAATTGAGAAAGTAAATCCAGCCTGGAAAACTAATAAGCCTTGAAAATCCCCTCTGTTCAGAGTCATTATCATTAGCATATTCATTACTATATATATTCATTACTATATATATTCATTACTATATATATTCATTACTATATATATTCATTACTATATATATTCATTACTATATATATTCATTACTATATATATTCATTACTATATACATACATGAATATATATATATTCATTACTACACACACACACATATTTGCATTGCTGATTAAATTCTGAAAACTGTAGTGCTGCACCTTTTATATTTGAGGCCATAACTTTCTTTTCAGAGGAAGTTTTCTGTCCTTTAATTATACAGCTTAATTTAGATAATAATGGCTGGGAAAAATATATTCAGGAGCATAAATGGCAATTGACCTATCTTTCCCTTCCATGATAGCTATAGAACAATAAAAGAGAAAGAGAGGAAACATCACAATTATTCTACCTATTTATTCCATAACACATATAGTTTAACTCTCAGGTCTTACTGTCTTTTCTTTTCTTTTTTCTTTTATTCTCTCCATCCTATCATCCTTTACTAATTCAGGACATATAAAAATGTGAGTAGAAATGTTAGAAAGGAAGATTAAAATTGTATTGTATAGCTTTAAGAATAAAACATATACAAATACACACACACACACACATATATACTCACATACATAAATATATATCAGATATAAGATTGACTAGAGATTTTCAGTGAAGAATTACACTCCTGCTCCTCTTCCAAAAAACAGTTTCATCTTCTTTTACTGCTCTAAAACATAAAAAGACACAAGTGTTACTCTACTTTTTATAATGTGTAAAGGACCAGTGAGACCTCACCCAAACTGATTCAATTTAAGAAGAAAAAATGAGATTTGAATCCATGTACAAATTAAAGAAACAGCTGATGTTGGATTCCCTAGCATTTCCATTTAGCTAGTTGATCTGAGAAAATAGGAAAAAGAGATTTTGCATATATTAGTTATCTTATTGAAATACTTAATAATTAACCCTGCCTTAGTACTGATCCTTAAAATAGTCACATTCTACTTTGCAGTCCCCCTCTTTCCCCAAGTGCTGTTCACACCACTCTTGAGTCAGGACAAAAATATCCTAGTATGAAATTTACTGTTCCCATTGCCAAGCCCTGTTCTGTATTGATTGCCACAATTCCCATTCATTGCTACTCATGTGATTTCCTTCCATGATAATGAATAAATAAACCAAACAGATTTACTCAACTTGAGAATGCTCAAGAATGCTTGAAGAAGGAGCAAAGTAGAAAAATAAATATTGCCAGGCCATGCTCTAAGCGTCCAAGTTGGAAAAGATCCTTAAAGTAATTCCAGAATTCAGAACTAACAGGAGAGCAGGGTCCCTGAAGAGTTAGTATTAACAAATGGAATAAACAGTAAATCACAAAGTCCCTACTCTTATGAGATATATTGCTTTATTATTTTCTCATCATAATATATGAAAAAAATGTATGTAAATCTGTATCTCTTTTACTGAGGTGTATCTTCAGTTAGACAAAGCATAAACTGGCAATCTATCAAAGCTCTTTATTCATACATCAGTTCACCTACAGGCTGTAAAATAGCACTGGCACCCTCTTGTTTCTGCTGGCAAAAAAAATAAAAGATGGAAAAAATAACTGGGGAAAGTCGATATTACTTCTCTGTGTTATATTCCTTCCCTTCAGCTCAGAAAGCAGCAGGTAGAACAGAACAGGGTGGGGGACTATTTAATGTGTCTAGATTGCATGAAAAAACCACTTCTGAGTGCATGAAAGTGCTTCAAAAAGTGATATTCTTCCTGCTGTTGACAGAACCATTTCATGACTTTGTTGCTTCTGTGTGTGTGTATGTGGGTTGTTGTTTTTTTTTGCTTCAGCATTATCTGGTGGCATTGGGCATAGATGGTTTTACAGTCCTTTATTTCACCTCTGGGGAGAAATTAATTCCTGTGGGAAAGAAAAGAAATGCGCAAATAACAGCTAGGTGAAAGTTTGTTTTGCCTCCCTATCTTTAAAACAGACAATAGCCATGGGGAGATGACTCAACCGACCCTGACAATCCAGACCCATCCCTATCGAAGCTGTGACCCAGTGGAAATGTCCTATCCCAGGGGACAGTTCCAGCCAGCAATCCGAGTGGCCGACTTGTTGCAACACATCACTCAGATGAAACGGGGACAGGGCTATGGATTTAAAGAGGAGTATGAGGTGAGATGAATATTCACTCACTTGAGTAAACAGAAAACGGTTGAGATTAAAGCTACTGGAAAATCAGAGTAACTCCTGATTGAAGAAGTATTTCAATAGTTAAGAGACTATTTTATGTGTTACTGATCATGGTTTTTCTTCTCTTTCTTCCTGAGTCCTTGTTGCAGTCCTTTTTCTGTTGCAGAGCTCCTGTCATTTACACATTCGTACATTGGCAAAAAAAAAAAAAAATGGAGTTTATGAGAAACTGACGTTTGGTCTATTTCAAAGAGTATAACTAGTTCATATGCAGCAGCTATTGGTTTGATGGTACAGCTATTATATTTGTGCTGAAAAATCTGCCTGTCTGCTGCTGGGCCACTCAACAGCTCAGGACTAAGTTAACTTAAAGATGTCCTCTATTATCCTAGTCTTCAGTCTATGGAGTTGCTCAGTGATCCAGGTCATGGTTGTCCTAAAGGTGCTTTTTCAAAAGGAAACTTGGCTTTGTTTTTCCTTGAAGACATTTCGCTTCTCATCCAAGAAACTTCTTCAATTCTGGTTGAATGGTAGAGAATAGAAGGATTTATATTCCTAACAGTCATCTGGTCATTACCACTTTTTCTGAGAGTCATTGAGGCCACTTGGAGATTTAGCTACATCCTCAGGGTCACCTGAGTAGTACAAATAGAGGTGGAACCTTCTTGGAACTGCTAAAAGGACTGCATTATCCTTTCCTTGAGGAAATGTATCCAAGGAAAAATAAAGTCTAGTTTCCTTTTGAAAAGGCACCTTTGAGACACTAGTCTCCACTATTCTAGTTTTCCTGTTGTTCATGTATGGCTTGTGGAAATGTCATCTAATAAGAATTCTTTGCAGTGACACTTATTATATGGATTAGAATAATCTCCCCTCTGCAATGTATCAGGATTAGCATTGACACATTTAGACCACTTTATGTTGATCGTCATCACTCCTGTCTATAACTCCTGTTATATTTCTATTTTTAATGGTTTAATTATACCTTGCAAAATAATATGTTTGTTTTACTAACATAAACCCACCAGAGGCTGTATTATTATCATTAATTATTATTTTTAGGAACTAAAGGTATTTAAACAAATGTTTCCCAAAAATTCTTACATGCAGCAGAATGCAATAAAATTTCCCCTTAAATTGCGATATAAAGCATATAAAATTATTGCAATATTTTAAGAGCTAGTCTAAAGATCAGACTCATTAAATAAAGGGGGGAAAGAAACAATTTTGACCACCTTCTGAGTGTCTGTAGCAGCTAATAGCTCTTCTGACGGCAAAGTGTCACCACTCAAGTCTGACACTCTTCTATATTTTGGCATGAGGTTCTTTTGTGAAAGAACCTTAAACTATTGGAATAATTTTGTTCATGTAAAATTTATTTCAAATTGCACTGGATTTTAGAGCTGAAAAGTGAAATATCACTTCTATATTTGAGTGTCAAGCCAAGCAGCTTATCAAGGAAACCTGGTATGACAGATATTTTTTTTAATTATGAAGTTAAAAGAGTGGAATTCTGTCCTAAAGATTATTTCATCTTTCCTAGCTCAATCCAGTAGTTATAGTGAAATTTGTGGAATATAATTAAGAAGCAAGTACCTGTACTGATGATCTTCTGTTTAAACCAGACACTATTGTTGGGCATCTGCTCCACTTGAACATCCAAGTGGGATCAAGTTGTATATTCCTGGCCACATGTTTAATTAGTAGTGATAGACATTTTAATTTCTCACAAAGCCTCCAATCAAATACCTCTCTAAATATTACCATACTATGTGAAAGGCCAATGTTTACTCATTATTGTTACTATCAATATGACCTACTTCAGTAGTGCTTCACGTATCATACATCACTGCTGAACTTGAAACTGCCATTGGCTACTTGTTACATTGTTTTCTTAATTCTCAGTGGATGAAATTTCATCCTGATGACCTTAAGGTATGAGGAGACTGGGAGGTTAGGTATTTGGTGAATATCACTTTCAAAGTGCTATTAGAGAAATTCAACAGTATAGGGTAAGTAATGATTCACTTATCATTGATACCTGGAATATAACCATTATGACACAGTTTTGGCCATCTTGAAAACATGTTCCTGTAATTGCCTTTGTTCTTTAATTAATTGTACCCCTATTTACTTGGTCTTTTTTTTGCTGAAATGTTAGGTAGATCTGACGCCTTTGCAGAAACAGTGGGCAAATAATACTCAAGATCCAGTAACTGAACACAAATACAAAATAATGTTTAATGGAGGAAAAATATCACGAAAGTCAAGCCAACTGTTCCGTACAGTTGAAATATGTGCTAAAATAGCCTATCTGTATAAATAGAACCTGTATCTCAATTACTATAGATAACCATATACCTTTACTTTAACTTTAAAACATTGGCTATTTTTTAAAGAAAAAATCATAATAGAGACAAATCTGCTTTCTCCCCAATGGTATCTGTGGTGGTTTAAATATACCAGGTTTGGAAAAATCTAGTTTTCAGGGCTTATGAAATGTATCTACTATTTTATTGAAAGAGAAATTAAAAGCTGACCTTAGGAAAATTTAAGACAGAGTAAACACATATGGGGGAAAAGAAACTCCATCACTTTTGCTATCTTTCAAGCCTCCAAAAACTGTCACTGAAGTTAAGAACAAATTGCCTAGTAATATAAGATGAGAAAAAGTTATGGTTATGCTGGTCATTAATAGACATAAAAAGAAACAAAAGGGGTGGGAGGCAGAAAGACATCATAAAGAATTGCTTAGCCCATTTCTGAACAGATCATTAAACCTTGACACTACAAAGTAATATTGATCAGTCTTTCCAGCATATCAAAGGACAGCTATTTCATACACAAATTAAACACAAATCACCTTAGAAATTACAGCTCTGTTAAAATTAATTATGGTATTATGCCTGTCAAAAATATTATTTTGAGTTTCTGGCTCCTTTCCTCTTCCTCTAACACAAGTGTCGGCAGCCTTAAACACTCAAAGAGTCACAAGGTCCTAACCAGAAGACAGAAAATATTTAAATCTCTTTAAGAAGAGATTTGTTTGAAATGGTACAGGATCTTCTGCTTGAGCAGGGGTTTGTACTAGAAGACCTCCAAGATCCCTTCCAACTCTTTTTACTTTATTACCTTGAAATATCACATTATTCTTGCCCATTTATCATTTTAATCACTGTTCCATATCTGCTATATTTAACATAAACTAAAAGAGCCAGAGCATTTCTAGGAATTAGGTTTTCCATTCCAATGTAGGATTAAAGTGCACATTCTTTGTAAGTATAGTGGACACAGTTGTTGAATGGGTACTTGATATTTTGCTCTCTCTCTGTGTGTGTGTGTGTGTGTGTGTGTGTGTGTGTGTGTGTGTGTGTGTGTAATATCTTTCAGTGGGAGCACACTATTGCAGGAGCAGACTGACTCAGTATGACATATTTGAATATGGTTTGAAAAAAGTATACAGTATACTACAGTATGTATACATGCAAATAAGCTCATCCATGGATAAAATTCAGGATTCAAATTTTAACCCAAATAGCCTGCAATATGCCTTTTTCAGGTTAAAAATTCAAGGGTCTTCTTATTGGCAGATGGGCTTATCCATGAGTATATATAGGATATATAGTTTCTAAAAAACAGAGAGAACCCATTTTGGCATCTAAAATTCACAAATATTTATGGTATATATATATGTAAAAAAATAATTCATATTATGGAGTCATATTTATAGTCATATTTATAGTTAATAAATATGGCCTCCTCCAGACATTATGGCCCTTTATGACATGTGCTAAGCAGCTTTGTAAAGTATAGATAAGATGCCTTATGGAGTGTTAATGGGCTGTGAACAACTGAATTACTCTTACTCTGATAACCTCAGATAAAGTTGCTGAAATGCTTAATGTAAGTAAGAGCCAGGTTTAATTTTCAGTTTCTGGCAGCGTACGGCATTTAAAATTATATCTCCACTAATCTTAGCACTTTGATGCTTTTACACGCAAGGTCATATTTTGTTTCATGTTATTTTAAAGGCTGCAAGCCTAAAAAAATATCAATGAAAACATTACCGTAGTCTATATTCATTTTCTTTGCCATGTTAATAAGTTTGCCACCAAGGACATTTCAATATCCCTTTTTTCTTTTGCTTTTGAAAGCTAGGAAATTTATAATGGCTATTTTATTACACCTTATTTATTACATTTAATTATATTCCTCCTTTCAAGATAAAAATCTTTGAAAGACAAGCAACAGGATCATTAGTAAAATTACACTAAACAAAATTTTAAAAGATTTTTCTCACAAGGTTGGTAGTCTTTTCTGCCTTCATTTTGTGTGGATGGCAAATATAAAAATAAGGTTTTCTGATTTTTTGCTCTGTTTTTGGTATAGGAAGAGTGAAAGGGAAATTGATGTGGTCTACAAACTTATATAGATAGTTCTCAATTTATAATAGTTTGTTTAGTGACACTTTGAAAATACAGTGGCACTGAAAAAAGTGACTTATGACCATTTTCCCCTTACACCCATTGCAGCATCTCCATGATCAAAATCCAGACATTTGACAACTGATTCATATTTATGACAGTTGCAATGTCCTGTGGTCATACTTTTGCAACCTTCTGACTAGGTTGTCAACAGGGAAGCCAGATTCACCTAACAACTATGTAACAATTAACAATTGCAGTGATCACTTACAACTGTGGCAAGAAAGGTCATAAAATGGGACAAAACTCAATACTTGTTTTGCTTAGCAACAGACATTTTGGGCTCGATTGTGGTCGTAAGTCAAGAACTACTTGCATATTGTGTTATACTTTGGAAATCCATGAGTCAAAATATAGACTAAACTAATAATATATATCTACTGATTTATTTTCCATGACAAAACAGAAAAAAAAAAGTCACTATTTTTTCTGGTGGTGATCAGAGGTGGCTCAATGACTACAAAAGAAATTTTAAGGTACTCCTGGACTGAGACCATAGGGCTGCTTAAAGGGGGACATAATCCAGATTGAACAGGCTCAGGGTTCGCTTTTCCTGCATTCCTTCCTCTTCCTTGGGTGAACTGTAGCAAAATGCATTTTTCTTCTTTCACCTATCTGGTCTATTAAATTACATCAGCTCTATAGCTGTAATCCTCAATACTATTCCAATGTGATTAGTGAGGTTTAGGTTGAAAATACCCTTGAAGGCAACAGAATGAAATGATCAAGTCAAGAGTTGGTAGACTCGGTAATTCAGCAACACTTCAAATGAGATGATACTTTCAAAAATGTACTCCACCCTGTAAAGAGCTATCTGTCGAATGAATACTGACTCTGGTAATATTCTACTTATATAAAAGGGTGTTTTATTGTAGAGATGAATTTTCAAAGCTTTTGGCACCTTCCAAGTCTGTGATTCTTTGAACACTTGTACACTTAGGGAGAAAGAGAATGTAGTCAAGAACATGAATCACTACTACAATTTTAAACAGCCATGTGTGATTGTCTACTGTGTATAATACTAAAAATTTCTAAGTGGCACTTTTGTGGAGGTGATTTGGAGAAGATTGAAACAAAAAAGATTTGAATAGTTATGGTTTGCTTTTGCTTTTTCCTCTCATTGCATTTTCCAGCTGTTTTTAGGCTGCTGGTTCATTGATCTTCCCTTTTTGGGGGAACCTATTAAAAAGCAGTCTTACAGTTCTGGACTTTCATCTTTGGCTCTACATCTGTACCTTTTAAATATCAATATCAATTTGTGGTATTTCGACCATTTCCCTAACCTATAAAGTCTGTTTTTATATTATTGCCTTATACCAGGGGTCCCCAAACTTGGCAACTTTAAGACTTGTGGACTTCAACTCCCAGATTTCTGGGAAGACCTCTGCCTTATACAGCAATTTAATATTGAAGAATCAGAAACTAGGGCTAAGCCTTCTGACATTTTTCTTCATGCCTGCATTCAATTTATTCATTATTTTTTACTTAAATTATTTATATGGTTATCCATCTCACAAAGGTGACTCACTGTTTGATGAGGAAACACTAACACCATTTTTCAAGCTGTTTACATATCTACATAATTGTCATCTCCTGTAAGCCACAATTAACTTGCTAATGAGAATGTCAAATGCCTTGCTCAAATCACGATATGCTAAGTCTACAAAATTCCTCCAATGTACTAAAAAGAATGCCTAATGAAAAATGTGGTAAACTTAATACATTGGCTTCTAAAAAATAGTGGCAATTTCATATATCAAAATTATAAATTTGGTTATAAAATCAGACTTATCAGCTTTTTCTAGTATGTCCCATATACAGATTAAATTCACTTCTTTTAGAATAAAAATGTATTTATTCGAAGCTGTGCTCTGATATTATTTTGGAGATTTCAAATTTACCATCCTGTGTATATGAATAAAATGGAAAAATGGGGGGTTTATTTATTTTTTTGTTTGTTTGTTGCAGCAACTAAATTATTATTTATTGAAACAAGATACAAATGTACATCTTGTCTTTGATGAAGAAAAATGCCTTATTTCAATTACTTATTTCCTTATATTTTTTCCCCAGTAAGAACATTAGCTGCTATTAGATAGCACTTTGTACAGCAAAATGAGGTGTGATCAAAGATCTTCCCATTTGATGAAACATTATTTCATAAACATAAAGATTGAGCTACCTCTCATTTATTACCCATTTTACCAAGAAAATCATCCAAAGTGCATTCTGGAATTACTGCTTCACGGAACTTTTATAAACTGTAGTCTGGAAAGTTTTGTCTTTTTTAATAAAAGAATTATAATGTCACACCATTACTGTAATATATGGTATATTAGAATAACTCACAACATCACAACCAAAGAAGCTATGTTATCAGATCTGGGTGTCTATGGACTGTATATTAGTTAACAATAGAAAGTGGTGAATTTTGTAATTATGGGTTTCACATAACATTTTTTGGCTACCATTCATGATTATAGGCTATATTTCTTGTCTGGGAATGGTAAGCTAATGCCAACTCAAAATCCATTATATATTTAATATTCCAGACAATGCTGAATATATAATTGGGGGTGGGGGATTATCACTGAAAAAAGACAGAACTTGGGTTGTGAAGATATTCCAACAAGAGTTTATTACAGCTTCTTCTCCTTTCATACTGTTGCCATTCCCAACATCAACACTTGTTCTAAGTGTTCTAAGCCTGTCAATGCATGTGAATTATCCCAGGTTGCTTTATGAAAAGCCCCAAACCTGATTGAATAGACTACTATATGAAAGCTTGCAAAAGAGAGTTAAATTTATCCCCACATATACTTGATGTGTGCATGTTTATATGCACTCTGTATGTATGCATCTGTATGTTTATAATGGGAGAATTATATGGAAACTCCTATACTACTAAGGGCTTTTATTCTTTTATTTATAGCACAGCTTTTGGTCTCAGTTTAAATGCCATATATGTATCCTAATATTTCATAGGGACATGAGAGAGATAACACCTTATCTCTGTGTTAGAGATGGCATCATAATGATAACAATAACAATACCTGCCCAGACTCCCTATAATCAGTAAAGGTAATATATATTATTTTAAATCAAAAATGTGCAAAAATAAGCAAAATCCTTAATTGTTTTTGTTCCAATTACATTAGTATAGCCATTTATAAGTTACATAAGTCATAGGATACTAATGGGATCTTCATTAGTGTTCATTGTCGTTTTCCTCAGAAAGCAGTCGTCTTTAGCAGAGTGCTAAATTATATGCTGCCTCTCTCCCGCCCGCTACTTCATTAAGTTAAAAAATCCCCTGAAGGTCTTCCCTATTTTATAAATATTCCATTCTTTAATTTGCAGGCTCTACCTGAAGGGCAGACAGCATCTTGGGACACCGCCAAAGAAGATGAAAACCGCAATAAGAATAGATATGGCAACATCATCTCCTGTAGGTGCAAATTCAAACTGAACTGAACTTCCTGTGTGTATCTGTAAGCATCTTATATGTATAAGAGCATAACTGTAACAAAGAATAACTTCCTAGTCTTTGGAACATTTCAGCTTAATAACAGCTTCTGTGTTAGTGTTTCCCCCTTCCCCAATTTTTTCATTGATTTATTGTTCTTTGTATAGATTTACATTGGCCTCAGTGACAAAAATCTCCTTTTTGGGGGTGAGGGCCTGGCATTCTCATACATTGAAGACACCTGGGAAAACAGGTGTCTTCTTTTACCTCTTTTCCCAGATGAGCCTATGGCTTTTTGTTGGTCAGGAACCTATTTTCCCCAGGGCAAAATGCAATTAATGAATTTTGCTATTTGGGACATAGTGTTATCGCCACATGTTTTACAGAACATACAGAAGTTGGGTTAGCTGCTGGCTACCTGCTTCAGTAGTGCAGGCAGAGAGAGATTAAAGAGTGATGAACCTCTGATGTGCTCTATATGATAGATAAAAGATAAACAGTGAATATTTATATGTAAGATTCAGAGATGGGCTGAATTTACGTTCACAAGTGGTTCGCTGGATGTGAGCGTGTGCACGCACGTGCAATAGCATTGCTCACACACACCCCTTTGGGAGTCAAATGGAGCTTAAAAGAAGCAGGTAATCAACTCAGGCAGCTCTGGTGAGTAAAGCAGGGGCAGTGCGAACCTAGCTGGGCAGCAAGGGCGGAAGGAATGAGCCAGAAAGTTAGTTATAAATGGATAGCTTAGCACAAGGGCAGGTGGGCAGGCCCAGCCAGCAATCAAAGCTAGAGGCTCGTCCGAAACCGTGCCACCATGCAGCAGCCTACCACTGACAAGATTCATTTAAATGTATAAGGTATGGTATTACCTGCAGGTAAGCAAATTCCACAGATGGGGTACTATCACCAAGAAGACCCTAGATAAATTAACTAGTCCATATACAAAGAAGGAATTGTAAACAGGACTTATCTATCGATCTCAGTACATAAACCAGCTGGCATAGAACAGCTCACTAAAAACTATCCCCACAATTGGGAAAAAAAACAGGCCTCCCACATTTGAGAGACTTCTATGTATATGTTCTCATTGTTTTGGATTGCAGAGTGAAACTAATATTTGTGTTGCAATATTACCAGTAGCATGAGAACTAGATTTTCATGATTGCTCTGTGTTGTTAAGTTGTGACTTTGGACAATTGATAAACTTTAGTTGGGACTTTAGAAAATGAATTAAAGAAAGATCATTCATGTACTTGTTCTAAATGTCACAAATCCTATGATATCTCTAGAAAGCATTGCCCTACCTAATGTGGAAAAAACTTTCAGAAGTTAGAATTTAGTCAGAATAGAACATGTATAAGATTGTACTGTAATTTTATGTTCACTAATTTTCTAAATAAAATATAATAATATAATGTTAAATAACAGCATAATATATATATAATACAACAGCATGCAGATTTACTTTAATTCAAAGTGGAAATGTTTTGGGGAGGATTTGGACACAGTTGCTGTACCTGTTGATGGTGTAGTAAGGGGACTGGAGCTAAAACATATAAAGAATAACTGCTGGAATTGGATATGTCTAGTTTAATGAAAAGAAGGACTAAGGGAGACATGTTCCAATATCTCAGAGGTTGCCATAGAAAAGAGGGAGTCAGACTATTCTCCAAAACACCTGAGGGCAGAGCAAGAAGCAATGGATGGAAACTAACCAAGGAGAGAATCAACCTAGAACTAAGGATAAATTTATTGGCAGTTAGAACAATTAATCAGTGGAATGACTTGCTCCCAGAAGTTGTGGGTGCTCCAACATTGGAAGTTTTTAAGAAGACATTGGACAACTATTCAAATGGCGTAGGGATTCCTGCTGAGCAGTGGGTTGGACTAGAAGACCTCCAAGGTCTCTTCCAACTCTGTTATTCTGTTATTGATGTATCCCTAAAAAGCCACACTTTTTTAAACTGGAGTTTCATGTAGGGTATAGTGAGCTTAGTGTTCCTTAACTCAGTATGTATTCTTCTAGAACTATGTGGCTCCTAGGTGAACCAATAAATTGGATTCTCTTTAAGGAAGTGCAAATAGATGCCTCAGATAATCACATTCAAAAACACCTTTTCCATTTCAGTTCAAAATAGCTGCACAAATGATAATGCTTTTAAAATGCTTTAAAGGCTCATGTAATGTGTTTTAAGGATACAAATGCAACCTAGCTTCCTGACTTAAATCACAATGCAGCTTCTAGTTCACATAAATTAAAATAAATTGAATCCAGGATATATAAGCAAAGTTTTATAACAGCACAAAGGAAGAATGGTAATTTATTTATTAAGTGTGTTAATGGGGCATAGAACATTGAGCACAAGGTAGGTGGCTAGAAAGTGCCAAGAAAGCAATATCAAACTGATTAAAAAGATGTTAACCTTTAGGAAGAGTGTTTACAAAGTTGAACCATTGTTCAAGAAATGGAGAAGCTTAACCACTGTTAAAATGAATGACAAAATAGACATGTCAGCTTATGAATGAAGAGCTGGAAAATAGATGACAAGATAATGTATTTTTCTCCTGGAACAATTGTTGATTTGAATTAAGAAAGCAACTAATGGCATTTCTTAGATTTAAAAAAAATGTGTAGAGGACTTTGTTTGAAACAATCCTCCATCCAAAGACAGATTAATACTAAAGATGACGTGAAGGTAGGACTGTCTGAGAATCCTTTGGAGGATTGGAAGTATAATGGTTACCCACCTTGTAAGAGGCAATTGAGAATGATTTTCCTCTGCATAACAATGATTGGGGGGGGGGGGCATTGTTGTTCTTGGTGGCAGGCAGCTACATGGTTAGACTAGATTTGGCTTTTTTGTCCACCTGCCAAGTCCTTCCCAAGGACCTGGAGTAGGCAGATGTAGTTTAATGGTATTAAATGTATGGTCACAGGAAGTAAGCTGCAGCTAGTAAATCTGAATTTTGCAATTGACTTGTAGTGATTTTGTCAGTGCTGGTGGTGTTCAAATGGTGCTCCAAATATTTTGGAATTGCAGGTCTTTGTATCTTGTGATTTTCTCCAGATTTTGTCTTTCTATTCTGCTGTCTCCGGGTACTATCATGCCCAGGCCTTTTTGTTTTTCTTCTCAACAATTGCTAAGACTTTATGTGGCAGGTGCTTGTCTGTTTGAATTCTCAAGTCCCAGAGTAATTTAGCATCTTTGTTTTCTATTATTTTGTCTATTTTACTGTTATTATTTATGACTGCCCACTCTAATAGAGTCTGGGTACAAATTCCAAATGCACATTGAAAAACATGACTGCTATTTTGGATTTGGTAAAGAGAAAAAAAGAACTAAAGAATTCTTCAGAGAAGACAAGTGCCTCTTAACAAATTAAACATCTTCAATGGCAATTATGTATGTTAACAGTAAGAGAAATGGAAATAAAAATGAATTATGTAAAGCAAAAAAAGATGAGCATGCAAATAAACCTGAGAAGCGGGTAGCATATCAATTACAAAAAAGAAAAGAAAATTATATTGAAATTACAGTAGGGAGATATGGTGTTAATGGCAAAGTGGTCACGCAAAAGCATCTCATCTATATTATTATAATGTCATTTCTTTTATCGAAAAGAAATGACATCTCTCTAGAGAAAATAGATTAATATCTAAGAAACAAACTTACTCAGGAGAGATTATGTATAATACAAGAAATTTCTGAAGCTATAAAAATATTAAATTAGGATGGATTCTTAGACCAGATGGATTATCAGTTTCTAATTATAAATGTTTTGAGAATGATTTTTTTCAACCTTTGCAATACACAATGAACTCTATGCTACAAGAGGAAACCTGCCAGAACATTGGAAAGAGTTCACTAATAACACTATAACACTAATACCTAGAGAGGGACAAAATCTGACTTTACAGAAGGCTATAGACTGATGTCATTTATTATTTATTTGTTGCATTGTAAATAACTACAAATTGTTTAAAATGTTTCTGTCTAATAGAGAGACAGTAATTTTGTGGGGTTTTACTTGGAGTAATATAATAAAAAAAATAAGTTGCACTGAATTTTCTTAGACACAGAAATTTGAATTGGGCTTTTTTGTTTAAAGTTTTAGAAGTTATGGATTTTGGAGTGAACTGCGACATACAAAAGGAACAAGGCAGGGATGCCCACTGCTCATTCTCTTGTTTATTTTTCTTCTGGAAATATTGAATGGAGATGTAAGATAAGATGAGAGGAATGTAGAAGTAAACATTTAAAAAAAGGAAGCTTAGAAGTTAAGGGTTTTTGCAAATGCCTTGATTTTGATCCTGGGAGATGCTTTAAAGGGATTTGAAATATTAATGAACAAATTAAAGAATGCAGAGCAATAAGTCTTAACATTAATAAACAATAAAAAATAGAAGAGAACCAATAAATAAAGCATGTTTTAAGACTGAGAAAATGGTAAAATATTTGGGTATCATTATGATAAATATGAACCATGTGTTAATTTCAAAATAATTATGTTAAGGTATGGAATTAAGCTTTAAAAGGATATAGTAACACGTGGTAAAATATAACTATCATTGTTGGGGAAAATTTCTGGGATAAAAATAAATGTTTTATCTAGAATGATGTTTTTGTTTCAGACAATACTTTTACTGAAATTGATGCACCAGTAACAGAATGATATATGAGTTAATATAAGATGTTGCAAGATGGAAAAGAAATAAGTGGCCTGGATTTGCCTAATTTGAAATTGTATTTTACACCTTGCTTTCTGGTTTGGATGAAAGAGTGGATGTTGTTGAGAAATAGAAGGCTTTTGTATGTACAAGAACCAAACCTGAGATTTGAGTGGCAGTCAAGGTCAACATGAATTTTAAAAATCTTATGTTAGATATGCCATATTGATAATAGAAAAGCCCAAATTATGCCTGACAACACTTCTGCAGCTCTCAGAACAAGAATCATATTACAGATGAGGAATAATAA